CCCCCCCCCGGCCGGGGGGGGGGGGGGGGTGAGCCCAGTTCTCACACACGGCAGCCGCACTGAATGTACAAGACGACAGCGAACTTTCAACAGGTCGAAGTTCTTCTTCTTCCAAATCCGGCTCGAAGGACCAAATGTTAATGTTCGTTGGTGCTCCTTGTGAGCTTCGAGCTCTGTAGAATTTCGCACGTGGTGTGTCGTCCGATTACTAAGTCTCTTATGTATTTCGTGAGTCCCTTATGGTCTCACGTATTACTCACGATGTCTCTAGAGTCCGTTGTGGTCTCTCCTGACTCTCGTGTATCTCCTGAGTCCCTTGTGGTCTCGTGTCCAGTGAGTCCCTTGTGGTCTCACGAATGTCTCTTGTATTCCGAACCGTGTCTCCGACGATGTTTCTCTCCCTAGAGGACCGGGGTCATCCCTAATATTACCTCGGTCCTCCCTAATCTTTTTGACCTAGGGTGAGCGGCAAGGAATTACGGTCCAATCACTGCAGTCCCAGATCCAGTGAGACCGCCCCAAAACGGTGGGCCGGGAGTTAGCAGGGAGAATGGCAAACTAACACCTGCAAAACATCCCGCGCTGATGAGCCTACGTGCCCAAATAATGCCAGACCCAACCGTAATTGACTGGACCGTAATCAAGGACCAGGAGACATTATGACGGGGCCGCACGTGCCCGGAAACGGCCAAAGACAGACCCATACCGTCGGGGTACCTAAGCACATGGCCCCTGCCATAAATCCTGCCCACTTGGCAGCAACACTAAGATTGCACACAATAATGGACAATTTGGACGATAATGGACGATTATTCAATCCTAGCGGCTCGTTTTTATAGTTGTTGGGACAATCGGCGACTGTAAAAACGAGCCGCGAGGTTCGAATAATCCTCTTCTCAAATTGTTCATTTTTGTGAGCAAAATTAAGGTGCGCGAATTAGTATATTCCTATATTAGAAATATAAATATTTTCATCAACGCCTGTAGCCCGACTCTGGGTTAACCGATTTCGATCAAATTTTCAGCATTCATATAAGTTACCGAGATCTACGAAAGGTATTTTTTAAATTTTCGCCATGGAATAGAAAGTTAAGAAACGTGACATTTTAATTTTTTTCTTTTCATTCTAATAGCAAAATAAAAATAAAATAGCTTATTAGCTATCGTCTAGTATACTTTAGATGATCTTTGTCATCTAAAAAAAGAGATTGAAGTTATTTAATTCGGTTTTCAAAAAATTGTTACGTTTTAAAAGGTGTACGAACACTTTTGGGGCCACTGTACACATTTGTTTCAGATTTGTTTCACAAACACGGTGACTCGTATCGATATTAGATTAAATTTAAGAAATTTATCTGACCAATGCCAATGAGAATTGAACGAGCTGCTAAAACGAGCTGCTAAAAATTGCTGTCCACAAAAACTTTTGTCCGCATAAATGGCGCGGCATAATATATATATAAAAAAATAAAAAATAAAAATAGTCGATAAAAACGACCATCAGCGATTTTCTAAGATGTCCTTGATTCGTTATCCAGAAAATTAACTCTTACAATGTTGTCAGAAAAATTCAATTAGTTCGGTGCAAGCATAGAAATGTTCTTCTATCTAAAAAACAAAAATAAAAAAAGATAAAAGAATGTTTAAACCTTAAGAGATCGACTAATTGATCGCGAGATAACGATTTCAATAAACGATAGAAAGCATTGTAAAGCAGTGTCGCGCACGTCAATAATTACTGTGCAGAGCGATAACGTTATTGTTCCATGTACCTGAAATAGGATGAAAATAACTACTGATTGCAGCAAGGTCTGGTCGCTTTATTCGCCGCACTCGCACCGTTTACCTTTGATCTGGATACCTAAACGGCCGCGATAATCGCGATAACG